AACAGAACAATGCCGTCCAACTGTCGGGTAGGTTTTTTTTTTGTGGTGACAGTCCGGGCGATCACCCACCGCCCTTTTTTTTTATTCCACACCCTCATACAATAAAAGAGAGTTAATGATCTAACGTAACGATGATTTTCTTTAGCCGGTGTTTACCTGAAGAACCGCATCAACCGTGGTTGGTCCCCTGTCGAAGAAAGTCCGCTGCGCACACCGATTCCCGAGGAGGAGAAACCGGGGTTCCGTGAGAGGCTGATTCCCGCCCTGGCATCCACGCCGCCGAACGTTCGGGCTCAACTGGTTCCTCTTCTTCAGAAAATCCTTCAGCATGATTTCCCCGAGCAGTGGCCCGGTTTCCTGGACATCACTCTCCAGTTGCTGGGCATGAACGATGCCAACTCTGTCTACGCTGGTTTGCAGTGCCTGCTGGCCATCTGCCGTGTATACCGATTCAAGGCCGGAGAGAAGAGGGAGGAATTCGATAAGATCGTCGAGCACTCGTTCCCTCAGCTGTTGAGCATCGGTCTGAAGCTTGTCGATGAAGAGAGTCTGGAGGCGGCGGAAATGCTCCGCATCGTGGTCAAGTCCTACAAGCATGCTATCTACGTGGGTGAACCAAGAAGAGATGAGAGATTTCCAATATGGGTGGCTTAATGAGACTAATGCGATGGTGGTATAGTTCGAACTCTCGCCGCACCTTCAAACACAACAAGCGACGGTGGATTGGTGCACGCTCTTCCTGCGTATCATCGCTAAGGAGCCTCCTGCCAGCGCCATGAACGAGTCGAAGGAGGAGAGAGAGCTCAACCACTGGTGGAAGTGCAAGAAGTGGTCGTATGCCAACCTGAACCGTCTCTTCATCAGGTATGTAGATTGCGCGCAGTGTATGCGTGGGGCATTCATCTAATCACACTTCGCAGGTACGGAAACCCTACGACGATGAGCAAGTCGAGCACTCCCGACTACACCCAGTACGGCAAGGCTTTCATCACTACTTTCGCCCCCGAAATTCTCAAGGGATACCTGCAGGAAATCGACAAGTGGGTTTCCAAGGGACAGTGGCTCAGCAACCCCGCGCTTGCTTACACTATGATCTTCCTCGAGGAGTGTGTCAAGCCGAAGGCTATGTGGGAGCACCTGAAGCCTCACATGGACAACTTGATCGCTCACTTCATCTTCCCCATCCTGTGCCAGTCCGATGAGGACATTGAATTGTTCGAGACCGATCCCTCCGAGTACCTTCACCGCAAGTTGAACTTCTACGAGGAAGTTTCGGCCCCCGACGTTGCCGCTACCAACTTCCTGGTGGCCCTCACCAAGAACCGCAAGAAGCAAACCTTCTCCATCCTTACGTTCGTCAACAGCGTCGTGAGCAAGTACGAGTCTGCTCCCGATGACCAGAAGCTGCCCAGAGAGAAGGAGGGTGCTCTGCGCATGATTGGTTCTCTGGCTTCTGTCATCCTTGGCAAGAAGAGCCCCATTGCGGACCAGGTGGAATATTTCTTCGTCCGCCATGTTTTCCCCGAGTTCCGCAGTCCCCACGGTTTCCTCAGGGCTCGTGCCTGTGACACCCTGGAGAAGTTCGAAGCTCTGGACTTCCAGGATCCCAACAATCTGATGATCATCTACCGTAACATCCTTGAGTCTATGACTGACTCTGAACTGCCCGTCAGAGTCGAGGCCGCGCTCGCTCTGCAGCCCCTTATTCGTCACGATATCATCAGGACTTCCATGCAGCAGAACATTCCCCAGATCATGCAGCAGCTGCTCAAGCTCGCGAACGAGGTTGATGTTGATGCTCTGGCCAATGTGATGGAGGACTTTGTCGAGGTCTTCTCCGCCGAACTCACCCCCTTCGCTGTGGCACTCAGCGAGCAGCTTCGTGACACCTACATGCGTATCGTCGGCGAGCTCTTGGAGCGCAATGCGGCCAAGGGTGACGAGGATGCGTACGGCGATTTCTTGGATGACAAGAGCATCACCGCTCTGGGTGTCTTGCAAACGATCGGAACCCTGATCCTGACCCTGGAGAGCACCCCCGATGTCCTTCTCCACCTCGAGACGATCCTCATGCCTGTGATCAGCATTACTCTTGAGAACAAGCTCTATGACCTTTACAATGAGGTCTTTGAGATCATTGACAGCTGCACTTTCGCTTCCAAGTCCATCTCTCCCACGATGTGGCAGGCCTTTGAGCTCATCCACAAGACCTTCAAGGCTGGCGCTGAGCTGTACCTGGAAGACATGCTACCCGCCCTGGACAACTATGTTGCCTACGGCTCGCAAACGATGGTCCAGACTCCTGCTTACCTTGCCGCTGTTGTCAGCATGGTTGAGGACATCTTCCAAGATGAGAAGGTCGGCGGTGTCGATCGGATTTGCGGCTGCAAGCTCGCCGAGACGCTGATGCTGAACCTCCGCGGTGGTATCGATCAATACATCCCTGTGTTCATTGAGCTGGCGATGCGCGTCATCGACGCTGGCGAGGCCCGGACGAAGTCTTACCGCATCCACTTGATGGAGATGGTCATCAACGCCATCTACTACAACCCCGTTCTCAGTCTTCAGGTTCTGGAAGCCAAGGGCTGGACGAACAAGTTCTTCAGCACTTGGTTCTCCAACATCGACAACTTCCGCAGAGTCCACGACAAGAAGCTGTCGATTGCCGCGATCAGCTCTTTGTTGACCTTGAATGCCAATGATGTCCCGGCTAGCGTGCAGCAAGGCTGGCCCAGATTGCTCCAGGGAGTGACCAGGCTCTTCCAGACCCTGCCGGCGGCCATCAAGCGTATGTTCCCTGTCACTAACTATGTAAACAAGTGTACTAACTCTGCTATAGATCGTGAGGATGCCACCAAGGAGTCGGACTTCACCTTCGATGAGGAAGAGGACGAAGGTGATGAGGAGAATGACTGGGATGGCGAGGTTGAGTGGACCGAGCAGGATGAGGCTGAGGCGCTCTTGGAGGGCGATGTCCCCGATGACAGTGCCGCTTACCTTGACTTCCTTAACAAGGAGGTGAGTTATATTGAATCGGGATTCGGTTGGTCACCATTGACACATCATATAGGCCCAGAAGTTCGGCTCTTTTGCCGATGAAGACGAGGATGACCTTGATGAGGAGAGCCTGCTGGAGACCCCTCTGGACAAGGTTGAGCCTTATGGCATGTTCAAGCACGTCCTTATGAGTACGTCCATGTTCGACTATCTGAAGTGTATGGCCACTGACAATGAAATAGGTCTCCAACAAGAACAGCCCCAGCTCTACGAAAACCTTGCGAAGATCCTGAGCCAAGAGGAACAGCAAGTCCTCCAGTCCGTGTTCCACGAGGCTGAAGCGAAGGCTTTGGCGGCGGCCAACGCCGAGGCGGCTGGTGTCCAGACCAATGGGAACTAGAAGCGCTACGATGAACCCGGAGGGCTGACGAAACGAGCCAGTCGGTCTCTTCGAGGCAACGAACATCGCAACGAAATTCAAAAAAGAAGAAAAAGAAAAATGCCATCCCAGGTTGGATGTCTGTTTTGGCAGGCTTGTAAATCTTCACATCTGTCGTGGCGACGGCTAGTGTTGTCGAGCGGCCTGCTGGATACGTTATAACGCCATCTATGCCTTTTCTTATTTTCTTTTCCTTTGTCATTTAGAACAATTTTTTTTTTTCTGTCTCCTGTTCCGTTGACGTTTTTACTAACCCTCTGGTGATGTCCCCGGTTATTTTCCCAAAAGTTCCTTTTACCCCCCAATGTTCGAGTGCAGTGGTGCTGCAAATCCGAAGAGAATCGATTCCCCCCAATTAATCCTGTCAATTGACTTATGGTTATAATGTTGGACAACGTGAAGGCTATATTTATGCATTCTGCCAACCTGCAGCTGAGTATGAATGATCAGTGCTCTTTGTATGGTGGCCGATGGGCAGCGCGTGCTTTTTTGCAGTAATCTGAGTCCGTGCCTTGTGAGGCATTTAGAAATGTGTAAATACTGTGATACTCCTGTGAATGATTGCCATTTAGCTTAGCATGAAGCAAGTTGCTCCTCTCCAAGCCTGCGATTTAAGCTACTGGCCTTTCAGATTCTTGGCCTTGAAACTACCAGCCAGACAGATGTTAGAAGTCTATCTCAATACATAGTGGCCCAAGGGGGTTCAGCTGTCAGGCTCTTACAAACGGTGCCATACATGTATTGACTATTATTGAAGGTAGTGAACCGTTCTATCCAGTTATTAATGGATTCAAGTAAAGTGTATTACCATCACAGTATAGTTCCAAAATAGTTGTGATGATGTCGCCATCACCATATTCTCCTAGCTACATACAATTAATGTATTCTATCCACGATGGCTTGAATTGAAGAGACCTATTAACTATATGCCGGTTATTGACTGATAAGAACCAGGCATGTTAGTCAGACTTACGTAGAAGAGTCACTAGCAGTACGTTATACTATATGCATTCAGAGTCTTTATATATATTTATTCATTCATGTACCAACACAGCACGATTCTAATATGACTACTACAGTACGTAGACCTCGCAGTCCAACTATACATAACGACTTTCTTTTTCGTAAGGCAAAGCCAGAATCATCAAACAAAGATACTCTCCCACAGGGACTAATGTCAATCAAAACATCACAGAACTTGATGAATCCTTACACAAGTTATTCAGCACCCTGTATAATATTACATAAGCATTGATATCACGTGATATAGAATAAAGGAATGACATCATCGTCTCCAAGACTGATCATCTCATCATCGATCATTAATTGAAGCTGCCATTCAATATTACAATAGAATAGCGTTCTATCTGTTCTAATACTAGACTAAATAAGCAGTAACTTATAACTTAGTACTAAGTATTATCAATGATAAACATACTATGTACACCCCCCACACGATGAAACAAAGTATCTACGTAACCACCGCTTTTTACAAAGCCATCCTTACCTACACGTCATGATGATGTTTCCCAGAACCACTTTCATCCACCCCCAACGCAATTAACCTTGATTGACTGGGCCTGGGTTTATATCATAGCTAGCTGACTGAACTTGGGAAAATCTGGACCCTGAGTGAATTGATATTTAAACCCTTGATTCCTCTTCCTCTTCCTCTTCCTCTTATCTAGTAATCCAAGATTACCTACCTACATACCACATTCTATACCTATTCTATAATCCTCATATACCTACTTTATCCACCTAAACCTACCTACAGTAAGTCAAATCTTCCCCTCATTTCACAGTCGTCACGAATTAAAAATCTAACCAACCCACTCTAGTCCTTCAAATCAATTTTTGAAGAAATAAAGGGATTGAAAATGTCCGCCCCCAACGCCGGCCGCCAATCGCCCTCCCCCGAGCGCCAATCCGGCGCCCAGCAACAAGACCCTCCCTCGCAGGGCAAAGCCCAGCCTCAATATGCGCCGCCCGAACATGACGTCCAGGATCAGGCGGCCCAGACGGCTGGATTGTCCAGTAACCCCAAGCATCCGTTGGAGGATATAGAGAGTGCGAAGTTTTCGAAGGGGGGTGTTGCCTAACCCTTTTGTCTTTCTTTTTTTTTTTTCTTTTCATGTGTTTAGGGATGGGGGAAAGAATCGGAGAGAAATGTATTTATGATATGGTTATGATATGATATCACTTTTGGATTTTTTTGTTTTTTTGTTTTTTTTTTTTTTTTTTCTGAAAAAAAAAAACCCCCCCCTCACCTAACTAACCACACCATGCATCAGAATCGGCGGCTCCCTCTACCCCCACCTCGACGCCTCCTCCTTCATCCTCTCCCAAATCCCCCACAACCCCGACACCACCGGAACCATCACTCCGTCCTCGCTCTCTCTCGCCTACCAACTCTCCAACATCTACTTCCTGCTCGCGCTGCTCGGCGTCGCGCTGATCCACAGCACCTCGGAGCCCAAAGTCCTGAGAAACTACCTGGTGTGTTTGGCGGTGGCGGATCTCACGCATATTCTGGCTGCGGGGTGGTCCATGGGGTGGGAGCGGTTCGTGGATGTGGCGGAGTGGAATGCGCTGACGTGGGGGAATGTGGGTGTTACGGCGGCACTCTTTGGGTCTAGGATGGTGGTGCTGGGGGGTGGGTTTGGGGGTGTGGGTGGTGGTGAGAAGGTGAAGAGGAAGGGACAGTGAATTTGGTTCTATTGATGTACATACAGTGTAGGTAGTATGGGATGGATAGATGGATAGATGGATATCGGGGACCCGGGGATTATCAATCGCCGTTGTAAGTAGTCAGTCACACTAGTCAGTAGACAACTAAACAGGACATAGATGATGATGATATAACATTGAGATCGACATTTACCCTGTCTCAGAGTAAAAGGGAAGTATACCGATTAACCTTCCCCTTTCAACCAAATTAAACTATCTTTTCTTTGACCCGCTCGGAGTTATCCGATAGTTCATCATCATCGTCACCACCCCTTCCCCTATCTAACTAAGCTACCCTAACTACTCCGTACTAGCAGACTAACTTCTACTTCTAGCCTAGCTTACTATAGCAGATCCAACTAACACTTTATCAAGAATAGATAGACTATTGGCAATGGTCTAGACCACCCACCCCCAACCCCTAGTACCTACCCTGTGAATCTTCGGCTGGCTGTATCCATCTATCCCATGACTGGACGTTTAGTTAACTACTAAGTATGACCCCCGGTTCGGATCAAAGGAAGTGTATGCATGCATGCAGCAAGCTCAAGGTCTAAATTCAATTTCGATGAAGGAATTGCCAGTATGCTATGAGTAGTAGTAGTAGTAGTAGTAGTAGTAGAAATACATGCCCAAAGGAAGAAAGAAAGAAAGAAAAGAGAACAGGGATTATCCGAAATCAAGAAGAAGGTAAGGGAAAAAGGGGGAATGATCACAGGACAGAAGGGAAAACAAGACATCATTAACCAGACCAAATTGAATCGAATCAAGACAAGGAATAAAAAGAAATCGTCATATTAATCAGTTCAGCGGCTTACTTGCTTCTGTTTCCTGCTCATCCTACCTCTGCTGCCCAGTACGCGTCATATTACTGCTGCCCCCATATTGTTTGCTGCCTAGTCGTTCATCCATTGCGTCTAGATGACATCTGTTATTGCCCCAAGCTCAGACCACGCCACGTGTGTGCTACTAGTCTAGTTGGTGGGTACCTGACGTTGCAATTGCTGAAACAGTTGGTGCAGGGCTGGCGGGCCGTGCTGTTGGTACTCCCTTATGTGCGGGAAGAGGAAAGGGAGGCCCGGCGACGTTTGGAACTCCTGTCGGTAGGCCACAAAGTTCTCCGTTGGGTCCAGCAGGCACGCTAGTGCAGGGGGCAGCACCGGAGTCAGTGTCATCCGGTTGGTGGCGCTGTCCGTGTGTGTGAAGGTCGGGTTGGACGTGCTGTATTTGTACAGACCGCTGAGAATCGCCGTGAACGAGTGGTAATTGCGGTAGGTGTAGAGGGCCTGTGGTTGTCAGTACGTGGTTCTTTGTTATGCACTCCTGCAGAGAGGATAGGTGTGGTCTACCTCGACAATTTCCTGAATGTAGCCTATCATGTCTGGTAGTCCCGTGCAACATTCCCACACTTCCAGGCTTCGTAGCTCCCATAGCACTAGAAGTCGCTTGATTATGGCGTCTGGCTCCACGAAGCTCTTCTGACTCAACCCAGAGAAGTATTCTTCGTCGAGGGCGGTGGTGGTCTTGGCGAAATCGAGAGCCGGTGCTGGGTTCGTCAAATCTAGCTCGTCAAGTAAGGGAATTTCGACCGAAAATGGCTTCGTCCAGTTCATCTCCCGGGCGTGAACGTAAGTTCGTGTGAACCGTACCCCCAATACCGAGAGCTCGAGTAGAACGGCCTTTAGACTCGGCAGATGCTCCTTGAATAGCTGCTGAATAGGCGCTGCGATGAATTGGAAGCCCGGGTACGGTGTGCTGGCTGGTACTGGCTGTCTCAGGGCGTGTAGGCACCGGTTCACGGCACGGTGGGCGAATGGGCTGCGAGTCTGAAGATGCTAGTCCAGAGTCAGTACCTTGGCAGCGGAGCATCATGCTGAATATCAATCACGTACCTGTTCCACCTCTTTGTACTTCCCCAGCTCCTCCGGAAACATTTGCAAATAGTTGAGCAAGTGGACGTACAGCGCCGTATGTTGTTGTAAAAACCACTCTACCGAATGTGCTCGGTAGCCCAAGAAGTAACGGACCAGCTCCTCAAACGAAATCCGTGTGAAATGCAGATGACTCTCCGTGTCGATGGCTTCTGCTATTGCTATCGAGGGCATGTCACTGTCCCGCTTGGTAGGAAGCCAGCTCCAAGGCTCGAGTGGAGGACCGGAGATCTGACATCGTCGAATGATTTCCTCGACCTTCTGATAATGGGACAGGTTGTCGATGAATGCTGTCTCGTGCGGCTCCACGAGCGAGTAGAGAAACGCGGTAATGGCTTGGGGATCACGTTTCTGAAGAGACTTTCGCGGGAGATTGCTGTCTCGAAAGAGTCCAAATCGAATCACCCGCTTGATCTCATAGGGATCAAAGGCCCAGAACACAGTGGTGGCCTCGTCCTCCCACCAGCGATACGTGAAGAAGGTCTGGGGAACCTCGCCCGAGGGAAACAGTTCCAGGTAGGCCGGCTGTCCCGTGCCTGGGAACGGCACGCTGGCCGAAGGTGAATACGCAGACATGCCAGAAACAGTCAAAATGGCTCGCGGGACCTTGGTTCAAACAACGACGAAGGGGATTGGACGGTCCCTTTTGACACTGGAGGAGGCTACGATTCAGCAACAGAACAACATAGTGACGAAATAAGTAGCAGCGAACACCGTTGCCTTGCTCCCGGGGTTCTTTTATCCCTGTAGGTGTACTACCAATGTGTGTGATCGGAACCAAGCCCTTCCCGATGCCAGGTATTGATATCAACATTCTAGAACGCCCCCCAGGATCAGGCATATAGGGCAGGGAATAGACGACGTCAGATGAAACAGGCCGGGGACTAACCTCACGGAAACCGAAAGGACGAGAGGGCTCGAGCCCAAATGTACACAAAGGAAGGTAAAAAAAAAATTGGGTAGTTGACGAGGGCACACCGGCCGGCTTCCAGCAGGTTGAACGAGGGTGTAATGAATGGACCGGGAACAGGGACCGAAACAGAAACAGAAGTAGAAAACCAGATAAGGGGATTAATCCAAACAGCTAGCTCTATTGTATTGCACCGTGCATTGCACCATCAGAGAAATCTGCAGAAAGCTGGCCACGACGGATGATAGACCTTATCGTCCTTCAGCTGATGCAGGCTGCTTTCCGTTCTTCAAGACCTTTTGCCACGTTTGACAACTCACGGGGAGAGCAGCTGGATAGGCGAGGAGAGCTGCCATCAACGAAGCATAATATTGCTGCTCCTGCTGCTGCTACTACTACTGCTGCCTGTGGCATCCGAGCGGCCAGAAAGCATGGCGGCAGGTGGCGCATTACAGGACAGAAAGAAGAAGGGCAGACGAGGGCTGATCCAGATCCGAACCACTGGGACCCGGGAGCCAGGATAGGCTAAAGGGACGGAGATTACCTTTTGATACAGGAGCTGAAATCATGGCCAGGGCCTAGCGGTGGGCCGGCGACTCCAATCAAGCCAGTTGGCCGTCGCATCATTTAATCCTCGACTGGTGGCCAAGGGAAGGAATGCATTCTCCGGGCCCCTGGAAGGACCGTTAGGTCTTGGGGCCCGTCTAGGAGCAGCCGAGCAGACCCTCCCCACATGGGCTGTGAATAATAAACCGGATTCAAGCATCAATAATCGTCGTCTCCATAAATAATCGGGGCCGTTGGCAATAGTAGGACCGATAATAGTAACAATAATAAAGAACGCCAGCCAACGGCGGGCCAGTGGAACAAACAGGTAGTATTCTAGAGTGGAATAGAAATATGAGATAACCCTAGGAGGTATTAAAAATAATTAATTAAAAGAAATTGAATAAAATTGAAAGAATATTCAGAGAAAAAAAAATAAAATTAAATTGAAATCGAATATTTAGAAAGACGAAACAAGAAAAGAAAATAAAATAAAAATGGATAAAAATCCAAAAAGGAAATTGGAGTGAGAGAGAAATCATACACACTACAGAGACGAAAGAGAAGCGGTCAAGAAGATGGATGGAGCAAGAGGGAACAGATGGAACAGTGCGTGCACAACAGCACCCCGAGAGGGTCCTGGTCATGCAGGACTATTTCGGTTTCTGGAAGGTTCACTTGGGGCCGCATCTCATCGGCAATGAGACCAGACACAGAGGAAGAGACTGTGTGAAAGAGAGAAAGAAAGAGAGATCGATCTTGTTCGTGTTCCAGAGCCGTAGCGGTGTACAATGACAGGATATTAATGAAGTCAACTATACATCAGCCTCGCGGGAGAAGACGAGGCAGTTGAGCCACTGAGCAGCAGTAGCAGCTAGACTACAGTAAGAGCAGCTGAGCGAGAGGCGACCGACATTCGTCAAGCGCCAGGAGCACGGCTGAGAGTAAGCCAGAGGCAAAAGGCAAAGCAAAGCAAAGCAAAGCCATCGTTGTCACAGTCATGATGATGATGTCGAAGCATGAAGGGCTGATCCTCCAATCCCGCTGTGGGAACCCATTTACAGTAGCTAGCTTCCTAGCTTAGCTGGCCAGACAGAAATGCTGTGTCGAAAGCTGGTCGCACACGAATATCTCCAGCCTGCTAGGTAGTAGATAGTCTAGTCGTATCCATTTCTTGTGTAAGATTGAAAAAAAGAAAAATAAACGATCGGGTGGCTAGCAACCTCTCTTGCTACAGCTGCGACTAAATTAGTGGGTGAAGCGAGTGCAATGCAGAAAAGCGTATCGCCGCTGATCGGGGCGATGGCGATCGGGGGGGATTGCTTCTGGGCGAACAATTGGAGTCTGCTTCCTTCTAGCGCCCCCAGATGGCCTGATTGACCTCGCGGGTTCATCATCATTGGCTGGTCCTCAATTTTTTTTTTTTTTTTTTTTTTTCTTTTCTTTTTTTTACGCTTCTCAACTCCAGTCCAGTCCACCTCCCAGGATTGAATGATGACGATGGCGGACTGGGGAATGAATAGATAGAGCTAGACTGCAGTCCTCGGACGTGTCCACGCCAGTGTTACCCTCAACAGCCGACGTTGCATGTCCCACAGACCGGGGGGGGGGGGGGGGGGGGGGCAGACAGATGTGGATTCGGTCACCCAGGAAGGATTGACCATAATACCAATCGCAAGTGAGAGAGAGAAGAGAGAGGAGTAAGTAGTAGTCTGGAGAAAGAGAATGGGAGTCAATGGGGATTCGAGCAGCAGCGGAGGAGCTCGTGGCGGTGGGTGTCTTTTCGCCAAGCAGGATCCACCATCAAGAGAAAAAAGAAGAACAATTCAATTGCTCTGTTCGTCTGGTGTATTCCAATCGATCAATGAAGGAAGGAATGTAAATCCTTCAAAAATTCTTCCTCTTTGCATCTCCACGGTACCTGGTGCCTTAATTGATCCTAACTCTCAGGAACGCGTGGATACCAGAAGGTTGGAAACTATCGAGACAAGCTAAACTTCGCCTTCGGGTGGAAAATCATGGCGGGATTCGATGATCGAGCATAGCATCTCCACCCCGAAACTTCCATCCACTAGACTAGACTACCAAAGACCAGCCAGATATTGTGGCGCAGGGCAACAAGAGGTTGGAATCAGGGGCCCCGCTTAGGAGAAAACCCTGGTGTGCCCGGCATCAACTTACTGTCGAATTATCAGACTAGATGTCTTTCCATCCACTATGGGAGGAGGAGGCAATATTCTCGATGGGTCACAGCAAGAGGCCGAAACCAAAAGTTAGAAATCAGCCATCCGAATCAATTCTGCTGCAATCATCAGACGCCGGAAGTTGCGGGTTGCAGATAGCCACGGCAGCGCCGCTGCACACGGCTTCCCTCCACGTTGTGCCATTCACAAGCATCCCAGGAAGAGTAAGACATCTTCATCTTGGACTTTGGACCGGAGTACTCCGGCCAATGTATTCCGTGATGACCCCCGTCGTCGAGACCCGCTCATTCCGCCGCCGTTTTCGCGGCCACGGGGCGTCCCTTTGAGGAGAGAGAGGGATGTCCAAGAAGTGAAAGAATTGAAGCTTCCTTCATTCCCTCCATTCTGTGTCACAACTCACCACTTTTGCTTCCCTCGCCAGATTCTACGTCTAGGCCAGTATGGTTACCATCCTGCAAAGACAGGGCTGTGTCGCTGAGCTGTCGCATGCAGAGAGGGTGACCTGGAACCTCAACGCCCCTGTACTTACTTGCACGGCCCGGGAGGTCCAGACTCGGAGCGGATAGCCACAGCCATGGCAAGCGACAACTATTGATGGGTGGCTGACTGGGCTTGTATGTAGGCGGGAGGAGTCCTTCTGCAAGAGCGCAACGGTTGTCAGGACCTTGCCAAACCCTAGATAACTACCACTCGTAGTCCGTAGCCATGTTGTCACTCGGTTGCCTGGTTCCCCGTCTCCAACACGCCCGCTTACTTACATATGATGTCTACATACATACCTACACGATTGTTCTCTGTGTTTCCCGCATATTGTGACGTGACGTTGTGCGAAAACAATCGCTTTCACAAGCCATCTGCCGTGCAGGTGCGTGGGGGCTGCTTACAGCCAGAGCCTATAGCTGATCACTATGTGGGAAGCATTATAGCTTGGTCACCATTCCCGGACAGCAACCTGTCCCTCCAGATAGACGTGGCCTGCTAGACCCGGATTGGTTCCGGACGTGCAGCATGCATGAGCCTGGCTCGGAGGCTAAGGAAGTATGTATGGTGTGCGTGGACGAGTGCGTGTGTGTAGAAGCGAGTTAACGGGTGGGCTATGTCACCGTGGCTTGAGACAAACATCTCGAAAGCCTCGCTCACAGGCCAGGTAGGTATATAACCTTCGTACTCATCTACCAAACGGAGAGAAGACCACTGCCGAGCATCTTCTGCTTTTCTAGGGCTCACGGGGGAAGCAATATGTGAATACCCTTGGACTGAGCAACGGACACTGTGATACAAGTGTGCGCGATGCCACCATTCCCTCGATGATCGTGCCGCCTCGATCCCTCGGACGAATCCTGCCGGTATCCTGCCTGACATGGCCGAGAGACATCCAAGAACCTAAGGCACCTCCATCCACAAACGGAAGATGGTGGGCAAGCCTTTCCCAGACAAAGGGGGAAAAGAGAGCGGAGAAGGTGGACAGAGGGGAATAAGATACGGAGGTGGAAAAAGAAAACATTCAAGCAAAGGCGCAACCCGCAAGTGATGGATCGCAACCCCATCTTTCCCTCCCCCCCTGATCCTGTTTTCTGAGCTTAACCGAACCATCCCGAGCGCCAGAAGGCGTGGATCGAAGGAAAGTCCGACCACGGCGATGGTCGAATATCAATTATCAATCACAGTGAGATCGACTAGGTCAAGATGACTTGTCAGTTGACTTAACGCAAACTAACCCATGCGACATGGTGGCTAAGTCTGCATGGTCAGCACCCGATTAGTTTGGCGCTTCCTTTGATATGCCGAGGATCGAGGGGGAGGGAATCGGACCAAAGGGGCGCCGGCAGGAGGATGTATCCAGATGAATCAATTCCTCTCTTATCATCTCATCCCATCAGTGCGACTAGAGCGGCATCTGCAATCTGCACCGGCATCAGCAACCAAGAACTAAGATACCAGTCTGTCCGTCGAATACTCCATCGTCTCGTCATCCCACGCAACAAATCACATTTATTTATTTACTTATTTTTTTTTTCTATTATTTTTGTTCTCCCATTCTAGGTCCCGTCTCTTCTCGCTAAATCCCTCCTAATCCACTACCCCCCGCGGCTAATAGGGAGAGGAGGGGAAGAGAAAAAAGAGGAGAGGAGAAAGATGAGAAGATCCATATTGACCTGCAGCAGCCCAGTTGACGTGTTACATTCCTACTTGTAGCCTTGTACAGAGTAGATGGGCTAAAGGAGATGTTCGGTTGGCTGATTTCAACGAAACCAAGGCAGCACAGGAGACCGACCCCCAAGACTCGCAATTCCTCATAGTCCGATGGGTCGACACTGCACCAGGTCGACTTCGGCCAACTGCTCCAGCCACTGTTCATTCATCTCCAAGTGCAGCTTCCCTTTTGGATCGGTTGGCTCCCGCCTTGGGATGTGAGACGTAAACTTTTTCCCAGGACCCATGAATGGATTGCATCTACCATCGCACCCTGTTGTCCCCGGCACCGTAGTCCATCCCTGTTAAAGGTCACGACAGGGTGGACTTGAGGCGATGGGCCGTCCAGATAGTAGCATCTGCGCGAGTCTTACCATGGATTAGATAGATCTGCTGGGGTGGCACGGGAGTATCCGGCGGAGTTGCTCTGTGAATGGGTCGGGGAAATAGACAAAGCAAAGGGGGGACGAGGGAAGTTGGAGGTGGTAAGAATAAGAAATGTCCTACTGCAACTGGCCCAGTTATAAATTCCAGGAAAGGAATGAACTAAGGACTTAAACAGAATTAATGGTATCATACAATCACAGGCAGACAGACTTGGCATCTTGACCTTGCTTTAGTGTACATGTCTACGGTACAAGTAGTTAACAGGTGTAACTTTGTGTCCTGTAGACAATTCTTTCTCTTTTTTTGTTCTGGATAACGCTTCATATAATTATCGTAACCGGCGTCATACAGGTCCACAAAGCAAGACAAGATGTCATCGCCACAGCGGAATTTTTCAACGCTTTTATTTTTCCGGCAGCCTACATCACCTACCATGCCACATCTACTGGAGGGCACGGCGGCGGTCACGCTCCTCGGCGATGGAGAGCTTGACACCCTTGCCCTTGGGCAGGGAGATCCAGGGCTTGTCCTGACCGATGACGAAGACGTTGGACTCACGGGTGGCGAAGGTGTTGTCAATAGCGTCCTTGATGTGGACGATGTTGAAACCACCATCGTGGCGCTCACGGTGGGTGACGACACCGACACGACCCATGTTACGACCACCGGTGGCCATGGCGACAACACCAGTGTCGAACTTGACGAAGTCGGCGATCTTGCCAGTGGCAATGTCGATCTTCACAGTGTCGTTAACCTTGATGGCGGGGTCGGGGTAACGGATGCTATAAAGAAAAGCCCTTGTTAGCACGCTTTGTTCTCACGTTGCGGCTCCTTACTGTGTTCCAGCAAAGAACTGCGATTCTAGTTCTGTCGTCCTCCGCCGATCAACCAAAGCTTGGTCCAACGACTGAATGACGCGGAACTTGTAGAGAGTATGCACTCACGTTCTCGCATCGTGCGTAACCAAGAATGGGATCCCGCCCTTGCCGAGCTGAACACGCTTGACCTTGCAGAGCTTGTACTCGGCCTCCTCAGCCTGGATGCGGTGGACGGTGAAGCGACCCTTGGTGTCGTAGATGAGACGGAAGTTCTCGCCGGTCTTCTCGATGCCGATGACGTCCATGAAACCAGCGGGGTAGGTAGGGTCGGTGCGGACCTTGCCGTCGACCTTGATCAGACGCTGCATCATGATCGCCTTGGTCTCACGGCCGTTAAGGGCGTACTTGAGACTATAAACCTGTCAGTCCACCAATTCCTCATATTCTCTTCGATTCATTCGTAATCGTTGGATGGCTCGTACCGGTTGCGGATGAAGACGATCAGGGGCAGGCAGTCCCGGAGCTTGTGAGGACCGGGGGAGGCCTTGGGGGCGTAGGTTCCGGACATCTTGTCCAGGAGCCAGTGAGAAGGCGCGCTAAGGCGCTTCTGGTGCTTCTTACTGTACGAACATGGTGGTTAGTATTCAACTCCTCAAAATCTTCAATTCTTCTGCCGTAGCGACGAAAAACCGGTGAAAACGCAATTCCACCGATAATCTCGCTTCGTGCAATAAGAACAGCGTAGGGCGTGTAACTCACGGTCCGCGAGGCATCTTGGCTGCTTTGTCGACTTGAACCGGTTAGTTGTCGAAGTGTCGCGAGGAAAGGAAGGAGACGGAACAAGGACTTCAGCAGCTGATATCCAGCCCATCTGCATTTTTCGCTTAGCGGCTGGTGCCAGCGGGGCTTAGCCCTAGCACTAGTACCGTTCTTTAGGCCAGCCCCACTAATTCCGACCAGTACTAGCCTGGTGGGTCGCATGTCTTACATAATCAATACTGGGTCTAGGCTTCATTTCGTAGTATCGGGCTATTGTTCAATGCTTTTTGCTTTTAGTAACTGAAATATCTAGAAACAAAAGGATATCTGACGCCGTCTAATCGCTATATGCCATAGATCTCTTCACACGTTTAGATGTAGCCCTTGATGACAGCAACCTCCGCGTTGAGGATGGACGATCCAGCAGCACCGATAACGGTGTTGTGGGAAAGAGCAGCAAAGCGGAGATCAAAATAGCCACCCTCGTTGCCGTCGCGCACCCGTCCAACGCTAACGGTGTAGCCCTTGGAGATGTCCCGGTCCAGTCTAGGCTGGGGTCTGTCGGGCTCGTCGAACACCCGGATAGCCTGCGCGGGTGCAGAAGGAGCGCCCAGCTTCTGAGCCTCCGACTGGTACTCCCTCATGGCCTGGGCCACCTGCTCTGCGCTGGGAGCGGGGCGGTTCTTGAAGCGCAAGGAAACAAACGCCATGTGACCGTCAGTGACTCCAACACGAGTGCAAGTGGCGCCAACACGGAGACCGGACTGCTCTTCGAAAGCAGTAGCATCGGCGTTCAAGGAGCCCAAGATCTTCTGAGCTTCGTTCTCAAGCTTGTCTTCCTCACCGCTGATGAAAGGAATGACATTGTCCAGGATGTCCATGCTGGGGACACCCGGGTAACCAGCTCCAGAGAGAGCCTGCTCGGTGAAGACTTCCACCTCCTCAACGGGTCCAAACTTGGCCTGCAGGGCAGCGAACGGGATGACAACACCAATGACAGCGCAGTTAGAGTTGCAAACCAAGAATCCCTTCTTCAGGCCGAAGTGTTTGCGCTGGTGAGGGATGAGGTCCAGGTGGTGGGGGTTGACGGTGGGGACGACGAGAGGGACGAGAGGGTGCTTGCGGTAATTCTTCGCATTCGAGAAAACGGGGATATCGGCCTTGATGAATTCCATCTCTGTAACAGTTGTGATCAGCAGGTAGTATTGTCGCCTGGGCGAAGAACCACATACCAACGTCACCCGCAATGTCGCTGTTGAGTCCAGAGAAGACGAGATCGCAGTCAGCGAACTGTTCAGCCTTGCAGTCGCGAAGGACGAGTGTGCTAAGCTTCTCCGACATAGCCGTAGACTGCTTCCATCTCACGGCATCCTTGTACTGTTTGCCCGCAGAACGCTCAGACGCACCGACGGCGTGCAGCTCCAGGAAAGGGTGGTCGGCAAGGAGGAGGATAAACCGCTGGCCCACGGAGCCGGTGGCGCCCAAAACACCTGGATGTTATTAGCACTGCAGCCACAGACGAATCGCCAGTGTTGTATATCCATACCGCACTTCTTCTTAGGATACGAGGCCATTTTGTTTGATATCGAGTAGGTCGCTCTGCGATTCTCGTGATCTGATAGTTGTCAATTACTCGTCTTTGACAGTCAACGATACAACGACGGATGATTTAAACAAAAGCATTGGCATCAAAAATCTCAATTGGAACATGCTCGCGGGGAGACATGGCCAACATCCGGTTGCAGCGCCTTAACCGACGGAGCCCCGCAAGGGATAAAAGCACAGTTGTATCTCCACCATCGGCATTTTTGAAGATTGTGACACGATAGACGAACTGGTAGCTTTGCAACAGCCACAATGTCATTGAACTATGAGCAAATCAAGCAAATCGCACTCACCTCTTGGACAATGATGCGGAAGTTGGAAAGGGACAAGAGTGGCGTTACCGATTAAAACTGCGATATCGCTCCGGAGCACATCTGCCCCGCTGTGACTCAGCCCTCACTACTGACTGACTAACCACTCCGTAGCATTCTCCGCCGATCTGATTGGTTGATTGCTCCGATCTTATAGAAATGTGAATGGCATCATTTTAGGGCCTTGAACTAGACCATAAATGGATGGGGTCGATATAATTGAAAGTGACATAGTTGCTATGAAACTAGCCATTGATATGTACAGCCTTTTGCCTGCTCCTATTTACTATGCATATGCCATCCTCAGCTGAGAGATCAAATCGCGCCATCTATGCTTCGTCCTCATAATCGAAGATCTTGCCAGGATTCAATAACCAGTGTGGGTCGAGAGACTTCTTGATGGAACGCATAATTCCAATCGTGGCTGGGCCAAGCTCCTTTTTCAGTGAATCTTTCTTGCCCAATCCCACACCATGTTCACCCTGAAAACTGGTCAGTCATGCTTTCAGGTACAAGTTCAGGTTGCGGATGTCTTACAGTGCAAGAGCCTTCCATTTCTAATGCACGATCAACCATGTCGTACACAACCTTCTCTACTCGCTCCCTTTCTTCTTGAATAGTGCGATCATATAAGATACTTGCGTGGAAGTTGCCATCTCCAATATGCCCAAGAATACTGGCAAAGATTCCCAGGTCATCGAGTTCTTTCTTGGAGATTTCTACTATGGTTAGCTAACATCCAGGTACTGGGTTGTGGGAAAGCATACCAATAATGTCTGGCAATCTAGAGATCGGCACGGAAACATCGGTTGACCATACTTCGGATCCTCGCTCTCTTAGAGCCAGCATACTCCATAGCGATTGTTTTCGCGCAGACCATAAATCGTGAGCTTCTCGTTCATCTCTTGCAAATTCGAACGAGCTTGCGTTATTGTTTTTTGCTAGTGCTTTGGTCAGGTTAATACTATCCGCGACCCCAGCTTTGGTGCCGGAGAACTTGAAGAATAGAGTGGGCAATTTCTTCCATGTTCTTCCAGTTCCTCCAGCGCGGTTGATGACATCCATCTGTATCTCATCAAGAATCTCCATGCACTGTACTTGAATTCCTTTTCGAACAAGCTGCATGGCAGTGGATGCCGCATCACGTACAGTGGGGAAGGTCACCACGCCGACACGAGTCTGCTCTGGAATCGGCGTCAATTTCAGGGTAGCTTCAGTCACAATACCAAGTGTTCCTTCAGACCCAACAAACATGCCTGTCAGGTTATACCCGGCTGAAGTTTTACGTGGACGGCGGCGTGTTTTGATGACACGGCCATCTGCCAGCACGACAGTAAGGTTAATTACCCAATCTTTCATGGTCCCGTATCTCACGGCATTGGTTCCACTGCAGTTTGTTCCAATCATACCACCTATCATTGCAGACGGTCCAGGGTCAACGGGGAAGAAAAGGCCGCTGTCCTTAATCTTCTCATTCAAATCCATCCATTGAATAGAGGGTTGAACCACCACGTCCATATCAGATTCGTGCAACTCAAGTATCTTATTCATCGTCACGAAATCAATGGTCAATCCGCCTAGAGGGGCCGAAAAATTGGCCTCCAGACTAGAACCTCCGGAGTAGGGTATCATTGGCATTTTGTATTTGTGACAGATCTTGGCGATCTTGGAAACATCCTCTGTACTCGCCGGGTAGGCAATGGCAACTGGCAGACGATTAGCATTGACGCTGGACCATTCTGAAAACCCATGTTGTTGAAGATCGTCCTTGTCGGTGCTGATGACCTCATCGCCTAGCGTGGCTCGCAGTTCTGCAATGGCCTGTTTCAAATCGAGGTTTAGTCAAGTCCTACACATGATACACTATACATATATATATTGAGAACACGGGAGAGTTGGATAGTTTTCTACCTTCTCAAAATCCTTCGCAGATCCATACTTGGGATGCTTGCTATTCAAGGACTGGGACTGTCCGCTCGTCACAGCATATGCATAGCCGACGCCTGCAGCCAAGGCAGAGGCTAACAGGGTCCTGCCTGAAGTCCGCGAGCCTGAACGGTTGCCAGAAGGCCCAGTATTGGCACCGTTCTCCTGTCCAGCATTGCCGTCATTCTTGTCTCCTGCCTTTGAACTACCAGCCCAACGCACTGCTCCTTGAAGAGGGAAGGAATAGCGTGGCGAGAGGGCGCTGGGCCAGCATTGAAGGGCGCGGAGATGTGCGGGGAATGCCCGAGGCACCTGGCTGAGCGGCCGCATTGTCTCACAAGCTCGTAACCACGGAGGAGTGAGGAATATTGCTATGTGTAAGATCAAGGGTTGAATTGAGCAATATATATTACATTCCAAGTCCGGTTATAAAAGACATACTAGGCCTCGAAGGCCGAAAATGGGGTCTCCGATTATCCAGTCGTAGCCAGTTATAGGAGCTTGGCCTCGGCGCGAGGGGAAACGTCATCGGGGCTAAGGATGAGACGTACAGCAGCTATCGGAAAAAGGCCGAGTAGAATGCGATAAACCTGCCTTTGCTGGATAGTGGAAATAGTCTTGTCCAAGTCTAGAGGTGCGGAAAAGTAGGTTCACCCCCACATTGGTGAAGGTTTGAGCAACGATGATTGATCCCCCACGTTTGAGGGGTTGCTGCTTATCATTGAACGCGATCGGCCAAAACTCCGATGGTGCCTCAGGAACACAGGCAGGCTACGACTTGGCAGGAACAGGCACACATGGCTCGGATTGGACCGAAAAGGGTAGATCATCCTGCAAGAAAGCTATACCTTGTCATTCTGAAGGACAACGTGAATGCATCATGGATAGTGCTCAATGGAACATTTTGATAAAGCAATCGCCGGCTAATCTTGCATCATATTCTTCGTCCCCACTTGCTTATCTGCCAGGCTCCATATGGGCCCGCGTCCAGCTGTTGATGGGGCAACCGGCTACATACAGAACATCAAATCCTTCCCACCGCAGTCAAAAGACAAGCTAACGATAACCTCGTGGGGAACGGCACGCCCCATTTTATCTGTGGCCCTTATTCAATTAGCTCATGAATACTCACTCCATAGATGGAGTCAGGTTAGCAGATATGCCAGATCAAC